TGGAACCCCTGGCTGGCGCGCCGGCGGAGGGGCAATCTCGCCGGGTCAGCCGCCTGCCCGCAGACTCTGCTTGCCCTTATCGGCGCCGCGCGGGGCGGGCGGCGCCGCGGATTTGACTCCTGATTTCGGCCGTCTCTGCCTTGCAGATTAAGTACACTGGCTTCAGGGACCGGCCCCACGAGGAGCGCCAGGCGCGCTTCCAGAACGCCTGCCGCGACGGCCGCTCGGAAATCGTAAGTCGCCGGGGCAGGGGCGCGCGGGGACTGAGGAGCGCGCGGTCACTTGTTGCGCGGGGGCCGCCGCGGCCCAGGCCGGTTCCGGACGGCGCACGGACGCCGCGGCTCCCGGAACTGAGCGGGCGCCGTCTCACTTCCTACTCGGGATTCAAAATGCGAAACCAGACACTGGCAGGCGGGTCCTGGCGGGGAGACGGTTTCCCTGTGGCCCGCAGCGGTGGTTTATGTTTCCCAGAGCCGGCCCGGCGAACGGTTCACCGCGAGTGGAGCTCAACCCCGAGCCAAACTAAACAAGGAAAGGTCATTTGTACAGGCTGTGACACCGATTAGGAGTTCAGGGTATTTATAGGAAGAAAACACCCATTCGGAAAAAGATTTGGAGCGCCATTCAAGGTCGGCGATAGTGTTGTTTCTTAGAAGCTAGGTTTGTTGGCAAATCTATATGTGAAGCTGTCTCACTCCCAGTAAAGCTAAGTATAAATCTTGTTACTCCAGTTATCTGTTGTCCTAATGGGGTGCGGGGAAGGGGGAACCTTAAAGGACGTGCCGTCATCTTTTCGGAGAATGTTAAGCCTCGAGGCTATCAGAAAGAAGCCTTTAGGGTCTTTTTTTCAAACCTAAACCTATCTCGTTTAAATGCTGCAATTCTTAAAGAACTGCATGGATATGGGAAACCCACAATCGATCTCCTGTAGGCCTCAGTTTTAGTGGATTTGGTGGCTTGCCTCCATCAAACCTTGGGTTGAAAAAAGATCCAAGTGTCCTAGTTCCTCTCATTTCCTTTTGGTTTGTCCTGTTGGAGATGCTCATGATGAGGGAATGGCAGGAAGAAACTAAAGAGGTTGATTATTTAAGAGAAAAAAAAAACCAAGTTGAAGCACTATGTAATAGAATCCTATTACCTTCCCCTGACTTGGGCCCATTGCATTGGCAGAGACTTGAAGCTATGATGCAGTTTGAATCTGGATTAACAGTAATAGGAAGACATATTGGAAAATTTACTCCTCCCACCCCCTTTATAATCGATTTATTTATTTTTATTGAGATATATCTTACATACCATAAAATTCTCCATCACTGAAATCAAATTTATTTTTAAAGCGTATTTTGATATTTAAAGTAAAAGTTTTTTAGAATTATATTGCAGATGGTGAGAAGATACTGGTTAAATTTATCAGGAGCTCTAGAATACATATTTGATCATTAGTATGTGTTATGAAAGAAAGTCTTCCTTCCAAGTTTCTTGAGTAGCTGTAATATTTATATGATTCAAATGTATAAGGCAAATACTTCTTGGTTTTAGCACTGAGTGGTAGAAGAAAAAATCATTCATTAAAATCATTCATTAATCCAGTGTCTATATCATCCTTTGCCTGGATTTCCTCTTGCAAAAGGTGGGTGATATACTTGACCAAAGGATTTCCTGAAGGTAATTGATGTAAGTGTAAAAGATGAGATACAAAGTACTGTCTCTTTTTTAAAGTTGAGTTTTTTTAAAACCTTGTGAAGCATAGCTAATAGAGTGTTTTCTGTCATATCAGACTTTGCTTCATGTAGTTAGGAACTGGAGATATAATTCAACCCATATATAGCTGAACTGCAATGTAATAGTTATAATATTGCTGTAATATTAATAGCACTTTTATAGATGACTTGTATTTCTCATAAATTTTTTTCCAGGATACATTAGACATTCTAGGCCTTCCTGCCTTCCAAATATTTGATCGTACAAATTTTAATAAGGTTTGAATTTCTGACAAGTATTAAAGGTTAAAGAAGGTGGATTGAATTCTGTGTAAGATTTGTACTTAAGACAACATGTCTTATTTTGTTGAGTAATGTAACTATTTGTATTTGGGAAGGAATTTCACATTTTCCTCTCTTTCTAGTTTTCACTCTTTAATAAAATGTTACCCACATTTAAATTACAGGATCCTTAGCTCCTAAAGGGTGGAGACATTAATTCTGTATATACCCCTCTGGATACACAATACATTTTGCATTGTAGGTACTTGCTTATTTCAATAAAGAGATTACTTAATTTAATGCTTGAAATTTATCTTAATTTATGAAAGGCTATGGTTTCTATCTTTTTGGTTTTGGAAAAGGCATTATTTTGTCTCTATTGTGACAGTAGCCATGTATGCTAAGAATATATGTAGTTCTCAAAACTATTTCCAACCCTTCTGCCCCTTTGCACTCTTTTTCCTCTTTTTATTTTGAATATCTCTGTAACATATCACTGAGGTTAATGATTTTATTTTGCATTTAGAAGTGAAAGAATTTAAGGGCTGTGATGCTTATCTCTCCTTAACTGTAAAACTCAGTCAGACTCCTTATCACAGCATAAAATAAAAATGATTATGGGTGAGAGGTAAAATCTGATTTACTTCTCTTATGAATTCTTACTGTAGTGAAATTGTTAGAGATATCTCTAACACTAATAATTAATAAAAGGAAAAAATACTTAGGTATGGTGACTCTACTGTGAGAAGAGTAAAAACTAATATATATTTTTAATCCTGAAGATTGAATGGTAAAACGTACGTTGGATTGGTGCAAGGTATGCCATTCCATAATTTATGAAACCTATAAAATGTAGTCAGAACAACCTGGAAATCTTACATACAGACATTATACAGTATAGCATTTTAATGTTTTGAACAGATTTTTCCCACCTCTTATGTATGTGTAGGTATTCTGCTAAAAAAGCGTTCCATGGTCAAATAAGTGTGGAAAATGCTGTTCTAGAATGATCTATGTTTACCACTACTTCTGTCTCAGGGATCTTAATGAGATAATGGGCATAAAGTGATGAAGCAGGAAATCTCTTCTGAGGTTGGCATTCAGACAAAGGGTGAGGTAACAAGATCTGCAGAATGTCTTAGCACAGAGCTTATTTGGGGTACACTGGAGGTGACAAGATTTGCTACTTGGTGAATGCTGAAGAAACATGCCTTAGGGATTTTGACACAGGGCATTCATTCATGGCCTGTATCTCTTATCTGCCACCACTCTGCTCTGACAATTTCATTATCCAAGGCTTAAAAAGTTGGCTTCTTTATCGAGCTCTAAGTTATTTCTATATTATTTAGCAAACACTCATATAGCGTTTACTGGAAGCTGTTCTAAATACTTTACAAATATTAATTTGTGAGGTGGGCTGGCCGGTTATAGCTCAGTTGGTTAGAGCATGGTGTTGATAACACCAAGGTCAAGGGTTCAGATACCCGTACTGGCCTGCCACCAAAAATAATGTGTGAGGGAACTGAGGTACACCTCAGGTCATATAGTTTCCCTTCCAGAGTCTGCTTTTCATTTGAACTAGCGGTGGGGCTTTTATTGATAAAACTTATGCTAATAGTGTGTGGAAAGATTTTTTTAGTTAATGTTGTAATGTGGATGTTCAGTTTCTATTCATTGAAAGTATTTACAAGAAAAGGGTATCCTACTTGATTAAGGTAATGCCATCCAAGAAGTCTAGAGATTTAGCAGTTAGGTTGACAGATGTACCTACAGTACCAGTAATAGAAATAGGGAGTATAATTTTTACCTCTAAAGAATCTAAGCTGGTAACCTTCGGGGAACTGGTAGATAGCAAAATCAGCTGATGGTTTTAAACAGATTGCCCAAATGATGTGAACTCCTTGCTTTCAGATAAAGACTTTGCTTAGAAACAAATTATATACTTCAGAACTTAATTAGTGAAATAAACCAAACAAAACTTTCTCTGGCTTTAGCAAAGAAGAGTTTACATTTAGATGATAAAAAATGTATTTTTTCAGAAATGCTTTTTACTTATTTCTTTCTGAATTTCCCTTAGAAATAGGGGTAATGTTATTTCTGGGGTTTTTTTTCATGGTGGAAATACAGAGTTAAATTGCTCAAGGGCTACATAGAATGACACTTTATTGAAATGGTTTTAGATTGTTATGTCTGTTGAGCCATACCATCTAAATCTTTAATAAATATTAGATGAATACTCTTCTCTTTGTTATAGTCAGATCCAGTTCTACTGAAGTCATATTTTAGAAAATGCATATTTTTTTAATCATCTAAGGTTTTAGAGAGAAGTACTGTCCTTTCACATGCGAATATATGGGTTTATCACAGGAGAGACAATCCCAAGTGCATTTTTTATGCACCACGTGCCATCCAGTGTTTCCTTGAAATCAAGAAAAATTAAAATGTCTCATTTATACAACCTTAAGCTGTGGTGTGCTTTGAAATCCGAAATCTTAAGATCTTCAGTGATTTTCCCATTTAAAAATATAAGTTTTTAAACACAGGGATGGTGGTTTCTGGTTAGACATTAGCAATGTGAGATTCTAACGTCAGCAAAAAATGATCTGAAAGAAAGTATTGATTCCATGTCTGATTTTATGTTTAAGCAGCCAATGGCAAATGTCCTCAAAATGGAATCAGATGTTTGTAACTTAATACTTAAGAAAAATGATGAGTGCATGTTTTTTACTTTTAAGTATTCTCAGTACTGCCTGGCTTAAGACGTAAACTGATGTAAAAATAAATGACTGCCTGCATAATTTATGTAATGTCCTGCTCCTGATCCTGTTTGTATTGATTTTTCTAAAAGGCTTTTGTGGCCACAGGAACCAATCTGTCTCTCCAGTTTTTTCCGGCCAGCTGGCAGGGAGAACAGCGACAAACACCTAGCCGGGAGTATGTCGACTTAGAAAGAGAAGCAGGCAAGGTAGGAAACATTTCTTTGCAATTTAAAATACTGTGGAATGTTTTCTTAGAGATTATCTGATGATTTAAATTTTAATAAAGAGATCACAGGTCTTATTATACAGGCATATGATAGATTTGTTTTCATTCCGTGTTGTAAGAATGTAATATAATTTTTAAAAATCACTGTTAAACTGTAAATGTTACTCCATTACTAATTTCATGTATATGATGTTTGTCATAGCAAGTTCTAGCCCTTAAAGAAAGTAATGTTTTCCTACATTTAACGTTCAAAACTTAATTCCTTTAAAAGTGCTGACAAGAAATTTTTTGTGTTTACCAAAATATAAGTGACTACAGTGCTGTAAAAAAATTAAGAGAAAAATAGGAAAAGTATCCATGGGCTTAAGAATTAATAGTATTTAGAAGTAGCTCATGGGTAACTTTATAATTATTTTAATATAGCAAATTTAATTTTGAGAAAAACTGTGAAAACTTTAACTTGGAAATAGTTTTTTTGGTTTTGAGGAAAAGTTTCTGGGAAAACAAATGGATGCCTTACAATTTTTATGTTGGAAGTTTAGGTGAAACATACAAAAAATGTAGGTGGAAGTGTTTAACCTGACATCCCTATTAAAATCTAAGTGATTGTTTGATTTTTAAAGAAAAAAAATTGGTTGGTTTTTATTTTTTTTATTTTTTTAAAAGATGACCGGTAAGGGGATCTCAACCCTTGGCTTGGTGTTGTCAGCACCACGCTCAGCCAGTGAGCAAACCAGCCATCCCTATATAGGATCCGAACCCATGGCCTTGGTACCATCAGCACCGCACTCTCCCGAGTGAGCCATGGGCTGGCCCACAAGATTTTTGTATTAGGCTGTAGGAAAAGGATTTCTAGTCTTGTGTGTATACAATGAAGAATTTTTTGTTTTCTTTAATTTTATGAAGTTAAGTTTGATTTTTTTCTGGGTGAGAAACCAACTAATCTTTGAATTGGGAGAGGGAAACTAGACTACAGGATTTAAAAAATGAGTAGTAATAAGCAAATAATTTTATTTCCTGTATATTAGCTGTTTGCTTGGAAATTAAAAGCAAATGTTCCAGATTTTACTATTTGGTAATCCTTATATATAAGGGAAAACTTGGGAAGTTACTGTAGACTTATTTTTTTTTTTGTCTGTTTGGCGCATGTATGTGTGACTAAATGAAGAAACTATTTTTTCCTTGTTCAGAACACTTCTTTAAAGTTAACATAGGAACTCAGATACTAAAGGCATAAACCAAAAAAAAAAGGCATAAACCAAAAAAAAAAATTGCTTTCCCCTCAGTTTCAATACTGAACTTTTTTTTTTTTTTTAAAGATGACCAGTAAGGGAGTCCTAACCCTTAACTTGGTGTTGTCAGCACCATGCTCTCCCAAGTGAGCCAACCGGCCATCCCTATAAGGGATCTGAACCCGTGGCCTTGGTGCCATCAGCACCACACTCTCCCAAGTGAGCCACTGGCCAGCCCTAATGCTGAACTGTTTTAGAAGACTTCAAGATTGACATCTCAATATTACTGAAGTCTTCCAGAATTTAATAACTAATAAATATGTTGTTAACACTACTAGAAGGTATGTTTGCTTGAATTAATTTAATGGTATCTATTCACCAGTTTGAAGACCACATTATCCATGGACTTAAGCTGTTGAGATGTTTTGGTTATGACCAACAATAACAAATATGTTAGATGGCTTATTCTTGTATTTAGAAGGTATGTTTTCTTTCTTTCTTTTTTTAAAAGATGACCAGTAAGGGGATCTTAACCCTTGACTTGGTGTTGTCAGCACCATGCTCACCCAGTGAGCTAACCGGCCATCCCTATATGGGATCCGAACCCGTGGCCTTGGTGTTACCAGCACCGCCCTCTCCTGAGTGAGCCACGGGTCAGCCCCAGAAGATATGTTTTCTACTGTCAGGAAGAATGATAAAACTGATGTAAACTATCAGGAAATTTACATTTTATTAGTATTGGTTTTAGAAGGTTTTTTTCTGTAAAAGGACGAATAGTAAATATTTTCAGTTTTGTAGGCCATTGTAGTACGAAAGGAGCCATAGACACATGTAAATAAATGTGTGGCTATGTTCCAAAAATGGTAATACCATCAGAAATCAGTATCTTTCCCTCAGATATAAATCTGTAAATGTTTATGTATTGATCATATATTTCTCAAATATAATTTTGCCAACATTTGTACTACGCCAACAGGACCTAGAAGAATAAAAACATTTTAAGGCAAAAAACTGGTAGTATATTGCTCCATACTACTGGGATAAAGTAGTCCAATGAATTTAGAGAAAAGATACTGCCTATGTTTTCCCATCCACGGAGCTCAAACTATGAGATCTCTTATTTCTCTTCCTACCTTTGTATGGTCTCTTTCTTATAACCATTAGATTTTGTTTCTGTCCCCACAGGAGTAGGACTAGAAGCAAAGAAAATTGAACGAACTTCCTCAAATGTTAATTACCTGTATTTGCCTCTGCTCCATATATTGGATCCCGAATCAGTGTTGTCTTCAAATTCTGTCAACTCTTTACCTCCTGAAGCAGCTTCGTGTTCTTCCCATTCATACCCAGCTTTGAGAAAACTATAGTGGTTAAGGCTTTGGAGTTAGACATAACTGAGTTAAGTCCCGGCTTCTTCAGTTACTACCTCATTTACTGCTGTGTTGTAAATTCGGGCAAATTATTTAACCATTATGGTCCTCAGTTGTAAAATGAGGTTAATATACACTTTCCAGGGTTGCCCTAGTGATAAAATAAAATAGCATACGTAAAGTGCTTAGCCCAGTACCTGACACAGTTATTGAAAAATTCATTAATTCAGAAGGTCTTTGTTGAACATGTGTTGTGTGTGCTGAGCATTGTCCTGGGCACTTGAGACACATCAGTAAACAAAACAAAGATCTTGCCCTGGAGATTGTTTTATGGGGGGAGTGGAAGAGTAGATAATATATATAATAAAGAAGATAGTTACGTAATATGTTACTAAGTGATAATAGTTCTAGGGAAAAAGAGAAAGAAAAGTAGAGTAGAATAAGGGTGATCAGTAAGCATGATCAATGAGCAGGAATGTTTGCAGTTTTAAATAGGATGATCTGGGGGCCCTGGCTGGTTGTTCACTTGGAAGAGTATAGTGCTGATAACACCAAGGTTAAGGGTTCAGATCCCCATACTGGCCAGTTGCCAAAAAAAAAAAAAGATGGTCCCCTAATAGGATGACATGGGTAAAGAAGGTCATATCTATGCAGAGACCTGAAGGAGTTAAGGAATGATGAGTCAGGCAGGTATCCTGGGGGAAAGATGTTCCAGACAGAGGAAACAGCCATCTTAAAGTCCTCAGGGTGGGAGCTGCACAGTGTGTATGGTAAACAACAAGCAGGCTGGTGTGGTTGGAGGAGACTCAGAAAGGAGGAGAGTAGTGGACAAGATCAGAGAGATGAAAAGAAGCCAGTTCATGTGATCATGGTAGGCCTTTGTAACAACATGAACTTTAATTCTGAGTGAAATGGGGAGTGGTTTCAGGTTTTTGAGCAGATGAATGACATGGTCTGTAGATTTTGACAGGATCATTCTAGCTAGTGACTCAGTAATAGACTGTAGGGGGCAAGAGAAGCAGGGAGACCAGTTTGGCTGTTGGAGTAATCTTGGTGAGAGATGTGGGTGGTAGCAGTGGAGGTTGTGAGAAGTGGTCATAGTCTGGATGTATTTTGAAATAGAGCCAGCAGGATTTTGCTTATGGATTGGATGTGGCATGTGAGAAAGGGGAGTTAAGAGTGACTAAAGCAACTGGGAATATGGATTGTCATCATCTGAGATGGAAAAGACTGTGGAGAGAGCAATTTTAAGGAGCAGGTTAGGTAGGTTTAGGGCATGTGAGTTTGTAGTGGTAAATTGTTGCATTTTCTCTTTCCTCAGTGCCCACCCTTAACTCCCTAAGTTATGGCACTGCTTTTTCATAAGTGACCATTCATCTGTTTATCTCAAGAGTTCAGTGGCCTTTTAAAAAATCAACTTTGTTGAAGTATAATATGCATACAATAAAATGCATCTAATTTAATTGTATAATTTGAGTGTTAATAAATGTATGCACCCATGTAAAAGCTACCACAGTCAAGATAATGTTTCAGTCATCCCCCAAATTTTCCTCGTGCCTCTACAGGAGTACAGGAGTGGTTTGGCTGGGTGGTTTCTGGCTTAGGGTCTCTCATGAGGTTGTAGTTAATCTGTTGGCAGGGCTGTGCAGTCTCTGAATACTTCAGTAGAGCTGAAAGAGCTGAAAGATCTACTTCCATGCTCACACGACTGTTGGTGTAGGCGGCTTTAGTTCCTAGTCATGTGTGCCTCCCCACAGAGAGAAATAGAATGAAGTCACCACGCTTTTCATGTCCTGTTTTCTGTGTCATTTGTGCCTTATTGTATTCATTAGAAGCTAGTCACTAAGTCTAGCCTACACTCTACAGGGAGGAGGGGATTACATATGGGTGTGAATACCAAGAGGCTGGGTTCATTGGGGCCATCTTGGAGGCAGGCTACAATAACATTCATTTCAATTTAGTGAATTCCGAAAAAAATCAGAACGCTAATGGAGAGGAAACAAAATGCTTCATGTTCTCTTATTTAAAATATGGTTTTATGATTTAAGAAAATGGATTCATAGAAATCAGTACTTTCATTCTTTTGCTTATGTGGTTGTAGGAATATTTTCAAACCAAGGGTCTTCATAAGGAAGGTCTATTAATGGATGACTGACCATAAATAGGTACTTTATTTAGGATCAAGTCAGAGCACAGAATTTTATAGTCTGTCTTTCAAATATATTTGAAACTTTTGCACCTAAATGTCTAGTGAACTGTCTACATTGGTTCTTAATAAGGATGTTTGTCAGAAAAGATTTAAAATAATAGTGTAAGGGTCGGCCCATGGCTCACTAGGGAGAGTGTGGTGCTGATAACACCAAGGCCGTGGGTTCGGATCC